GCAAGCTGTTGAGGGCTGCATGGGTAGCCCCACCCCTTGGCAGGTGCCCCGCCCCCTGGTCACCATCTTGGGAACAATGTCTCAGGGCCAGTGCCAGTGGGGCCCAGAAGGGAGCGCAGGCTGGCAGTGGTCTATGGAGCCGGGTTGGGCTGCACCAGCAGGTAGAGGGGGGAGCTAGCCCAGTTCCATAGAGCCCCTGCCGGCTGGGACCCTGTACTCCTGCCGCCCTGCTCTGGGCCCTGCCGGCGCTGGCCCCAGGACACCAGTGTGGGCCCTGCACACCCGCTCACTCCCAGTGCCCCCCCAGCCCTGCGGTACAGGCAGGGGGCAGCGTGCAGCCCCAACACCCTGCTCTGCATCAGGAAACGAACTGGTGCGGAGCACAGGGAAAAGTGGCCCCTCTCCTGATCCATGGTCGGCGCTCCATGCTGCAGCCACTCGCAGCCCACACGGGGCTGTCTTGAGAAGGCACAGGTGGAGGCTGGGGTGGAGATGCAGCAGATGTTTGCGGCTGGCCCTGGTTCTGGGCATCTGCTGACAGCACAGAGCCTGGGCTGAGGGGCAGGGGCTTTGAGTGGATTTTGTTTTGAGCAGGCACAGGCCACCCCAGGCGGGCTGCGAGCGGCTGCAGTGTGGGGCACTGGGCTGCTTTTCCCACACTCAGCACCAGCTTGTAACCTGCCCCCGCTGCCAGCCTGGGCCCCGTGCCAGCTCCATGCGTGCCTGTTGGGGCTGCTCTGTGGTGGGAGCAGCTGCAGCCCCCACCGCTTGCTGTGCCGGGCAGCGTTTGCCACCGCCGCCTGTGGGCTGCCCACTGTACAAGCTCCGGGCAGGCAACAGCAGCAAACACTGCCCGGCATGGAAAGCGGGGGCGCCACAGCTGCTGCCGCCATGTGTAGCCCCGATGCGCAAGCCTGGAGCTGGCACGGGGCCCAGGCTGGCAGCGGTGGCAGGTTACAAGCTGGTGCAGAGCGTGGGGGAGAAAAGCGGCCCCTCACCCGCCCTGTGGCTGGCGGCCCGCACTGCAGCCCACCTGGGGCTGCCTGTGCCTGCTCGGGACAGCCCCACATGGACTGCGATCAGCTGCAGCAGGGAGCACTGGCCACAAGGCAGAGGAGGGGCTGGTTTTCCCCAGGCTCCTTCCCTGCCCTTCTTTCCCCACCACCCACCTTACCTGAGCTTCCTGAGCCGGGGCAACCACATGGTCCCTGCTGGGGCTTTTGGCTGGGGAGGTGGGGCCAGGAGGGCGCTGCTGTTGCTGGAGCATGCTGGAATTCCCCTGGGTCCTGCTGCCCCTGGTTCCTGTCATTTTTTTACAGGAACCAAAGACAGAGAAATATTAATTTTCTAAATTTTTTAGGAGTCCCACGGGCTGGATAGAATGGCCTTGCAGACCAGATCCAGCTTGCGGGCCATATTTTGCCCACCCCTGGTCTACATCCTTGCAGCTATGGAGATGGGTTATCAGCCTTAACAAAAGAAGTGTTGCCTCCAGCCAGATCAGCTTGTCTTGGATGAAAGTACCAGTAACATTGGGCGAGAAGGTTCTGTGTTAGATGAAACCAAGTTAGAACCAAGTAGCAGCCATGTCCAACTCTACAGTGAAGACATAACAGAGCACAGACTGTCTCTCCTCCTTCGGTTTACTGTTCCTCCTAGACTCCTTTAATCAGAAGTGTAGATCATAGCTATGGCTCTGGGGCACAGCAGACAGCCAATAAAAAAAAAGAATAGTCTCCACATGAGAGGCCACATGTGGGACTTTCCCTGACAGACACCAGCACAGACCACAAATATCACTGGAGCCATTGCTCCCCAACCTGTGCGAGTCACTTCACACTTAGAGCAGCTAAAGGATCCCCAATAACAAACTCACCTGCTACTGCACATTGTACAAGTCACAGTAGAGGCTGCTTATTTGTTGTTACATTACAAATGGTGCATAGAGGAAGAGAGACTGGATTGTTTAGCAGCTTATCCTCTTGAATGGAAGAAACCCAACACGCAGTAAACCAGTTGCAAATGGCAGCAGCCAACACCTGTGTGCAGACTTCCCAGAGGAAACAAAACCACACCCCACTCATGGGATGCTGAGAAACTAGTCTTGCTTCCAAAGTGCCACAGGCCCCCTCTATACAAGCACTACTGGGGAAACATATTAAAACCCTATTGTCCCAAGATAAAGAATAAACTTGTTTTACACTAAATAAGGCCCAATTCTAGTTTAAGAATCATGCTGAAGCATCAGAGGTTGTCTGTAGTACATTTAATGCACACAATTCAGTCCCTGAAAAGGGAAATTATGCTTGAACTTATTAATAGTTCTCTGACACTTACATGCATGAACACAACACTGCATTTGTTCTGAAGCCAGAGCTTCTCATTAGCCTACTGACTTTGGTCCTGATCTGGTGTAAGCATCTATTAACCCAGCATCCAAAGCTGCAGGGAACATTTAGGAAAACTTCTGCAGACATTATGCTGCAGGGGGCACAAGATGTTTATTTTTCTCCCCCCTGTTTACTTGCTATTTATACAGACACTGGTGTCTGGAAACCACAAGCAGTTAGCTCTGCTGCACCAAGCAGGCACTGCTATAACCAGAGCGGAGAATTGCTGTCTGAGATCAGAGCTGGCAGCCAAGTCAGAGCTGCCAGCCATCACTGGTGGGATAAGGGCCAGTAGCAACATACGAGTGTCCAGGAAAGAAAGGAGCCAGCCAACATGTACAACTCTCAACATGTCTAATTGTGAATGAGAGGAGGAAAGATTATTTCTTAATTAAGTTGGGGCCCACGCTAATAAAAAGTTTAAGAAACTCTGATATAGGGGAGCTTCAGGAAAAATCCATCTGGAAATGTATTGAAAAGTAGCTAGCATTTTGCTTCAATTATTTGTGTGCATGTCTTGAGGGCCTGATTCCAATTCCATCAAAGTTAAAACTGCAGCAACAAAAATGCCTCCAAGACTTTGGAACAGGCCCATCATGAGAATCTGAAGGAAACAGGCTTTATTTTTGGACTTGTAGTTCTCCCCACTGTGCCAGTAGAAATTATTTTGCATAGTTGACATTTGTGCAGCTACATCTTCTGGCTCAAGCTCCCTCTCCACCCCCCACTCCAATATTAAAGAAAGCAAATTAAAGGGGCGAGATTCCAGAGGTAACTGGAGCCCTAAAGCCAAAATTAGAGTGCCAAGCTGAACTGACTGATAGTCAAGTATCTCACAGACGTAAGGTGCTTGAACTTGTTAAACCTCCCAAGCAATTTGTTACTGCATCAGTTGCGAGACACCAGTAATAACAAATAATTCTAAGTCAACCTATTTTCCTTCCCAGGGTAGATACATGGACTAACAAGCATTTTAGTGTGCAAGGATCTTTTAAATAAGACCTTAAAAACAGAGGCTCTGTGGGGTGTGCATGGAGATTAAAAGATACGTTGCAGTGGCAAGTTTCCCTGTGTTAATGTTGTGCTGTGTTTGCTAGCTAAACATCATCCTCCACCACTGCAGTGTCTGTTCCTTAATCATAGAAAATTAGGGTTGGAAGGGACCTCACAACATCATCTAGTCCAACCCCCTGCTCAAAGTAGGACCATCTCCATCTAGATCGTCCCAGTCAAGACTTTGTCTACCCAGGTCTTCAAAACCTCCAAGAAGGTTCCAGAACTTCTCTTGGTAACCTGTTCCAGTGCTTTACTACACTCCTAGTGAGAATTTTTTTCCTAGTATCTAACCTTAAATTCCCTTGGTTCAACTTGAGCCCAATGTTCTTTGTCCCGTTATCTGCCACCGCTGAGATCCATCCTCTTTGGAGCCAGCCTTCAGGTAGTTGAAGGCGGTTATTCAACTCAGTCTTCCTTCTCCAGACTGAATAAACTCATAAATCATGTTCCCTAGCCCTCTAACCATTTTCATTGATCTTTGCTGGACTCACTCCAATTTATCCACATCCTTGCTATAGTGGGGGACCCAAAACTGGACACAGAACTCCAGATATGGCAGTGTTGACTTGAGGCGAAGAATCATGTCCCTTGATCTGCTGGAAACACTCCAACAAATGAAGTCCAGTACACCCTTAGCCTTCTTTGCAACAAGGTCACACTCTTGGCTCATACTCAGCTTATTTTCCAGTGTAAGCCCCAAGTCCTTTTTTGCAGAGCTGTTGCTTAGCCACTTGATCCCCAGATTGTATTAGTGCATAGGGTTGTTCCATCCCAAATGCAGGACTTTGTGCTTGTCCTTATTGAAGTAGATGAGATTTCTTTTGGTCCAATCCTCCAATTTGTCTAGGTCTCTCTGAATCTTAGCCCTACCTGCTACTATTTCCCCCAGCTTGGTGTCATCTGCAAAATAGTGTTGTGTGAGAGAAAAACGCAACATACCACATCTCTAGCCCCTTCCCGCAAAGTATCTTAATGCACTTCACAAGCTTCCATTGAATTAAACCTAACTGCATGCTTCAGCTGCCTTTGAGCTGGTTGGGGAGGAAAGGTAATGGATTACTAATAATTATACTTAGGAGAAGGCCCCTTTAAGCTAGGAGAGCAGGAAAGAGGACCTTAAAGTACATGTAAAAACCTTTGTGTCATTGAAAATCAGGCCCGCAAAAGTAAGAAAGATAATCCCTGCTTAAGGGCATCAAACAGGAATGGTAAATACAAGATAGATATTTTCTCTAAAAGACAAGCTCTGGTTCAAATACAAAATTAATTTATGAAAGTTCCACAGCCACTGTTACACAGAAGATCTAGCCAATGATCACAATGGTCCTCTTCTGGTCTTGCAATTTCTGAAAGACCTCCTGAAGATTATCATAAAGAAGATGGGAGAAGAAAAATTGGACAATCCTTTGGAGAACCTCCAAAGGTAATTTTTAATGAAGGCATGTTATTCTCTGCATCTCCTCATTTGGAAGTCTAGGGGGGCTGTTACCTATCAACAATTTGTTGGAACAGCTTTCATCACCATAGCTTTCTGTGAAACCTCAAGGTGCTTACCTGCTCCACATGGGGCTTCTTGGCGAAGGAGATCCTGGCTATAGAGTGAGAAGCTATAGAGAGCTCCTGTCCATTCACCTCTCCTTCTTCCACCTCCACAAGACCTGGCATGAGAAGCAAAATTATTAAATGTCACAATAACATATAAAGGGTAACTCTGCTACAGTTACGTACTATGATTTTGTACGACTAAACACTACTATCCCTAGCAACATCTGCCAGGTCAAATACCACAATTAATAAGTGGAATCCTGGACACACTGGCAAATTACCTGAATTAGGCTTGATAACCCCAGGAGGCAGGCAAAGAACATGCTGGACAGTTTTAGGTGCATTTTTTGCAGTCAATCAGATTTTCAAATCCTTTCAGTTTTAATAACTTGGGTGAGGTCCTCATGTCCACTCTGCTGCCTTCAAACTGTGTAAAAGGGCTGGTGTCATGTAAAGGGGTCCCAAGGCCCCTCTTTTCAGTCTTTAGAAGAAGTAGAAGACAACAATAAAGATGCCCTCCAAGGAACCTGCCCTAACTCTGGGTAATTAAGGAACATAACCCAAGCCAAATGGCATGTCAGGAACAGGACCATAATATGTAGCATGACAGAAATCCTAGGTAGTGCTGCGAGTTGTAGGGGAACTTAGGGAGGCTGCCATATGGATGTCTATGCCAAGAGTTATGCCAAGGTACCATAGCTACCCAGGATACAGAGGGTGCAAAGGTGACCAAAAGCTACCCTGCCCCTATGGTTATGAGCTCTGTGCTGTACCCTGGCCACTTTAATAAGGGGCATACTCTAGGAGTAGGAAATTGTGAACCATAGTGTACATCTGCCTGTGCTTACAGCATGACCTATATAGATTTCAGGGCAGATGCAGGTGTGAAAACTTCATACAGGTCCAACAGTGTTTTGTAACTTAGGTGAGTGCTGCCATTTCCTTCTTCCACAAGAGAATTCACAGAGAATAGAACAAATTGGGAAGGCAATGGGCTGGTACCTGTATTCTGGGCACTGATGAAGGCCACCTTGTTAGTGTCAGGTTTGAGGCGGATGAATCCACATTCACGATGCATTGGCTTCCTGGTATCTGGATGGAAGGCATTGAACCTGTTGGGAAATTGGGACGCTAAAACTACCAAAGCTCTGTGATGAGGGTAGCAAATACACAGGGGGGTTAGCCCAGCTTCATCTCAGAGACACTGGTACTTTGTTCAACCACAATGTCATCAGTAGGGGTCTACTTAAATCGTAGTTAGACTTACATTAATAATAGTTTTTCATGGTTTGGTTGAGGCATAGAGAGCAAATTCTGGGAATGTTTTGCAGATGTGCACCAGCAGCCACACTCTTCAGTGCTGACTGACGGAGAGGCACAGGGGTGGGGGCAGCTGTCATCTTGACTACTGGCTGCCCTTCACGCGGCCCTGCCCCTCACCAACAATTGATGGAGAGGCCTGGAATGAGACAAGGGGGCAGCAGCCAGCTTTTCCGTTACCCTTCATGCTGCCCCGCCAGCCACTGCCGTCCCCTCCCAGGTGGACTGCAAGGCTGGGCCATTGTGGCGGCAAGGACCACTGGGGAGCCAGCACTTTATTTTTATTAAGTTTATTTTTGTTTTTGATTTTGCAGACAATCCCAGATTTTGCGGTTTCTGCAAAAATCACGATTTAAGTAGAACCCTAGTAATTAGCATTGCTCACAGTTACACTACTGTAACTTTCAATTAAAGTAATATGAAGAAATATGCCCAAGCTCTAGAGGTAACCAGTGTGCCATGCAGCAGTAGCTATCACTTCAGCACCGGCAGGTCCACACCTGTGAAGGACATTTCATCCACTGCTAATAATGATAGCTCTACTTCATTTTTTATGCTCAGGCCTGGGATCTGCCACTCAGTCTCCAATACAACAAAACTGGTTGAGAGGAATCCTTGAACATCCAGTTCTTTCTCTGATTTTGGGGCCATGGTTTGCTGCATATCTTCGTCCTTAGGCCACTAAATCTCTATTACAATAGTGCCTTTCTTCTCATCTGCAAGGCTGGCAGGCTGCCTCCTCCAAATATCAGCCTGCCATAGGCACCACAGATCAGACCATCACTGCCCTTAGTGCAAAAGTGCAAACATGGCTGCTCATAGACATGCAGATCTCCATCAACTCAAGGACTTGGGTTTTGGACAATCCTACTCTGCATGTACAATAGATTGTTCTGGTATTGCACTACCAGGTTAATGTAGGCACCTGATTATTAGGCACTCCCAGACTAGTGCAGCACTGTTTCCATTGCTCCTTTCTCTTTCATGAAGCTGGGTGGAATTTGTGATACCTCATCTCTTTGAATGAGAGAATTCAAGCCTTCCTCTGAGCTGCTACTACTTCTACTCTGGGGACTCTCTATTCAAACAGCACTCTACAGACATACATCAGCAGTAGTCCTTTCCCACAACTCTAACATGCACACTGACTAGGAACCTATTGAAATCCCCATCACAGTCTGCAATGGATCACAGAAATCTCCCCTCTTCTCAAAAGGGGCCTGTATCTGGACTCTGTAAAGTGCTCTAACTAATTAGCAGAAATCCAGATGTTAAGTGTACAAGTACAGAATGGACCCAAGAACACGTCAGGGTCTGCCACGTGGCAGCAATGATTAATTACCAAAAAGCACTCCGAGCTAAGCATTCAAAGAACATATTTCACATGTGAAGTCAGGTATAATTATGAAACATTGTTTTTACATGCATAAGAGACCTACCACACAGAGTGCCCAATACACAGACCATCAGCACGTTCTCCAACAATCCAAGTACTTGGGAGAATTAGGAATAAGAAACCATGAGAGGAGCTGGGCACCCAGTCATGGGAAGGTTTGTGTGCTTGCAGTTTACATTGCTCACTAATCTTTTTTTTTTGTTTATGAATGCAGAAATGGGTCCTTTGGGGTTTGGCCTTGCCTAACCCCAGAAAGCATATAGCTTTAAGTGCTCCGGTATAATTAAAGTGGTAGAGCCCCTCTGGTATGAATGAGTTCTACTGGCATAATTATGCTTATACCAGTATAACTTGTTCTCATACAGGAAATAATTATACTGATATGTGTATCTACACTAGAATTGTACCGGTGCAGATCACACGCCTAACTGACATAATGATGCTACTAAAGAATCTGTGTGCACTTGGAATGCATGCATCATTTTTGCACAGTGTTGAGAGCCTACAACTATTCTTTCCACCTGAATTCAGCACAATGATCTTTCTACCTCTAAAGAGTAGCAGGCTAACACCAAGCTGTTACTGAAAGTATTATCCAATGTGCTCCAAATCTCTTGCTTATTCCCCACATGCAGTTTCTTAGACCTAAATATCCAAAATGGTTAATTAACATAGATAGCTCACTTAAATCTGTAGTGGGGTCTAAGCAAAACTAAGTGAAGCAGAGCAGATGCTGTTCTAAGGATACTCTTCTCTGGCTCAGTGGGAAGACTGCCTGTCTTGGGCATTATGATAGTGTAAATTTGTGTGCCTCTAAATCCATTACCTCCTGCCTAAGTTTAAGTGACTAAGAAGAATATTTAAGATACAAGTACTGTGTGGGCAGCATGGAGAGAGGCTTGGTCTCTCTCTCAGAACCACTTTCACTCCCAACCTTCCAATTCCTCCACTGCTGGGCTCTCAAAACTTTTCACCCTGGGGCCCATAAGGAAGGACTCTGTTGATTTGTTGTAGCTTGCAGAAGACAGGTCACTACCACATGCAATACTCAGAGGCATGGCTGAGTGCTTAATCCTGCCTACACACATCTGTGTTCCTATTTAAATGTACCATAATTGTTCAATGTTCAACTGCAAGGAAGCACAACTGCATGTTTTATCAGGTGAACAGCTGCTGATGGTTAGGTGTGTCATCCAGGCATGTGGAGTCCAGGCTGTTCAGCATTTCTGAAAAAAATCAGGTGACTTTGAGCCCATCAAATACTCTCATGTGATGAGTGAATAATTTTCATGTTACTTTCTAATGTGCAGCTGGCAAACCCATTAGGAATTGGGCACACTCCAACCCCAAGGCTACTGCTAAGACAAACAGTTCTAGACTTACGAGAAGTTTAGCATTGGTTGCCCAACATGGGAGATGTGCACCTCTTCCAGGTACTGAAATGGCTTCATTGTAGGGAAGGTGCCATCTCCTGGGGGGTCTGAAAGCCAGGTGCCCAGCATCCAAGAGAGGGGCTCAATCACAGGATTCAGTTGGGGGGTCTCTGTGAAGAAGGAGGAAAGAATCAGAAAACTTGGGATTCACAGATTTACTTAAGTCTTGTCAGCTGTGTACAGTAAAGGTCAGCCCCAAAAAGCCTCTCTGCTATTTACTGTGTGCTATCATTACTCCTTGACCCAATCAATGATACCTACAAAGTATGAACTAAACTGAGGAACAAAACTGTGGAGAATGAATCTGCCTCTCAGCTTTGCAATTAAAATGACACTTAATTGCACCCAGCACCTATGGAAGTGACCAGCCTCAAGCTCCTCCCATCAATATAGATTGGGAATATCATAATCAGAACACTGAAAATTTAGGGCCTGAAAGTAGGCACCAAAATATAGTTACCCATCTAATTATGTGATTTTTCAGAAGAGCTAAGCATCTGCAGGTTCCTCTTGGCTTGGTATATAGTGTAGCTGATTCAGTGCTTCTAAAAAAATAAATCAGATCAAATTTAGGAGCCCAACTTCTGGTACTCAAGATTCAAAAGCCTAGCCTTGCTCTCTAGTAAGGGCTAAGATGTAGGACCTGTGCTATTAAGGATCCTTCTGACAACCAGTTTAAATGTAGCTTCACAAGAAAGCATGAGTGACAGCCCTTTCCACCACCACGACTGATGCTACCTTGTTGGAGGGGATGTGAACATAACAGGGGTAGAAAGGAAAATGAAGGATTTCTGAGATCAAAAGGACTGGATACACTCTTCTGTAGTACTTGAAACAGTGATGACCTTACCCTCTTGCCAACCAAGTTCCAGCTTCATTACAAAGCAGGGGGCTGCAGGCCAGAGTATTTTACAGGTCATGTTCCTACCGAAAAGATTATAAGAATGGTGAACCTAAAATAGAGATAACTACTGTTTACACTGACCCAGAACTGCCCTATTCAATATCTCACCAATGTGCTCCCAAGGGAAGCCACAGAGGCATGAGAGAATCCAGCAGAGAAGGACTCACGCAGAAACCCCTAAACAGGCCTACCTGGCAAACACTGCTGTGCTCTAAGCCAAAGAGAGAATGACTCCAATTCATGCTTGGATACAAAATAGCAAGATACCAGCAGGGCCAGAAGCTGGTGTTGGAAGAGGTCAGTAAGGTTGCCATTTCCCTCCTCTCTGCTGAACACTTAAGTCAGCTGCTCTCCCATTGCTAGAAATGGAGGCAGGGCTTCTGTGAAAGCTACTCTGCTTAGGCTTTTGGCTGGGTATAAACCAGTCAAAAGACTGATGCTTGAAGGTTAAAGAAAAACTGGAACAGAGAGGTGCACTGTTCCATTGTTGCATTAACAGAATCAAAAGAAATCTGTCTCCTAAAGAAGGTGTTTTGTTTCATGAGTCACTGGAAGAGGGATGACTTTGATAAGCAGCATTTCAGCACTTTTTGTGCAACGTGATTTAATAGGGTGTGTGCCATCAGAAAAAAAAACAATCAAGGAACTCGAGACAGACTGACAATTGAGAACCCATCTGAACAGCAAAGCATTTCCAAGCTTCTGAAGCAAACAAGGAAAGGTTTACACCACCCACATTACATCAGAGAAGCCCTGCACACACAGACATGGGTGTGGCCCGTAAAACTAGGCTGGAAATATTAAGCATTGTGAAGATGGACATCAAGATCCAAGAATCACTCTGTTCCGCTCCTGCACACCAGCTCATGGACTCGCACTCTCAGGCCAGTGGGGAGGAGTTTACA